AGCTTTGCAGAGCTGTGAGAAAATGACAGACTTTTCATTAACTGGTGAATAGGAAAACATCTATATAACAAAAATGAAATATGACCCCTACCTGACACCATAAAATTTTATTTTACTAAGAATTTCAAGGACTCAAATTTTGGCATTGCTTACTTTGTTTTCCTATTTTTTGTTTGTTTGTTTTCTTATTCTTATCTTTATTAATTTATTTCTTTTTACTTTTGGGTAAATTTGACTTTTTTTCCTCTATATTATTAATTCTTAATCTCAGATCATGTTGTCAAGTCTTTCTTCTTTTCTCATATAAGAATGAAAATTATAAATTTTCTTTTATGCAGTTCTTTAGCTGCACTCCACACACTTCACCAGATTTTGCTTTTATTGTCTCTGAGCTAGAAATGTTTTCTTCTTTAACCACAAGCTATGTAAAAGAAAAGAAAAACATTTAATAGTCTGACTTTATTCACCTGCCCACCTCTTATACCAATTATTGCAGCCAAAGTCTAACATGTTCTGACTTGCCTAGCTAAGGACAAGTGTCCCTCCTAAATGAAGGCATAAGTATAAAGGGTAGGATATTTAACCAGAATTAAGGAGGGTAAAGATGTTGAACATAAAATAGAAAAAAAGGTGAAAGTGATGATTTGAAGAGATCCGGTGAGTTTATCCATAGATTTACAATTATGAAACATGGACAAAATTAGTAAAAATAACTATTGGGAGTCATTGGAAAATGACCAAAGACAGTCAGAAACTTGAGCAACTATTAATCTTAAATATTGTTATTTTATACCATCAGGTGACACTGTGAGTTTGAAGTTTTTCGCCTGGTAGCATTTCTCAACACACCCCACCTCATACGTCAATGGGCAGATAATAGAGTTTAGATCAGCAGCGAAATTGGATCTTTAAGAGAAGAAATTTTGTGAACAAAGAGTAATAGAAGAGATGAAATCCCAAATCTGTGTATTATCTCTGCCCATAGCAAAGATTGATTACAAAGAGCACAGTGGGGGTGGGAGAGACACAAACTAAGGATGAATATATTCTTGAAAGACAAAACTGCCCCATATTATCTGTGATAGTTTTCTGTGTCTTTGACTGATTTTATTCTCCTACTGCAACACATATGGCTTGAGTTGTCAGAGAGTAGAACTCAGGAGCAGCAAAGCAACTGAAAATTTATGGAACGATAGAAAGGAAGATTCCAACCATCTGCAACAAAGCATCATATGGAAACAAAACAATCAGAGGACAGACACCAGCTACTGCAAGCTGCAGATGAGAATGATTTTGTATTTATATCCCAGGGAAGCTAACTGCCCACTACAAAAATAAAAGCACAATCCTCAGGAAAATCTATAATGGATTTCAGAGTCACTGCAATGTCTTATCTAAAATGTTCACTTTTCAACCAAAAATTTTAACATATACAAATAATTAAGAAAGTGTAATCCAAAAACACGAAAAATATATATATGTATTGAATCCAAATGTACCTACAATTTGGATTTAGAAGATAAAGTATCACATAAGTTATTATTAATGTGTTAGAAAAAAAGAGTGAAATGTGGTATAAAGGAGTGAATAGATT